AACAAAAAAAATCCCCCCCCCCCCCCCCCAAAAAAAAAAAAAACCAATAATTTACACTGAATACATCTGGGTATACCACCATTTGAAAAAACAGAAAAAGCACCTTTTTTGTTCTCCAATAAAACCCCTCCTTTTTAAAACACAGGTAATATACAGCAATACATTACAAAACTATTTTAAGATGAGATGGAGCAGCACAATAAGAATATATTAGAATTCCTACACAAACTCACAATTCCACGAGGTTTGGAAGCTTCTGTGCAAGGTTTTCTGGCTGAAAAAGAGTTAGAGATTTTTAGGTTTCAAAACAAAACACACATTGTGTACCCAACTAATTTTACCAATCACACTAAAACATGTTAGCAGCTACTCACAGAAAAACTGCAACAGAAAGCTTGCATACAATATCCTATTTCCACACCCCCACATATTCTCCACCAGTGCAATTGGGATATTTCAAGGGTGAGCAATTCATTACTGACATTGAACTACAGCCTAGAAGTGACATTAACGTATCCTCAAACAAATGGTAGGTGGACTTCTGGGGCTGAAGAGATGAAATACAATATATTTTCAAAAGTAAAGTTCTAAAGTGAATTAATTGAGGCTGAGAGCTGCTGAGAAGCTGTAACCACTACAGACTTGAAGGGGAATAAGATCTATGCAAGGTATCTCACTTTAACACTTTATTTGTAATGCTGGTAAACCAAGAAAAGATCTAAAAGTTTTGTGTACCTTAACCAATAACCACAAAGCCAGGCACACCGAACCCAACAAACTAAATTGCCATATTTGCATGTTAACATGCTATCATTTCTATAATTACTGATCCATAGCAACTATGTTCCACGATGGCCTTTATAACCAAGAACATAATACACCACAAAATGGGCTTGCTAAGTCTAAAATGTCAGTAATCATAGTTAAGACATAGTTAAGAAATCTATTTCAAACACAGATTTTTTACATCATCCATATATCCAAATCAAATTTTAAAAGCAGACTTACCACACTGTCAGTTTCCTGTAAAAGAGGCCTAGCAATCTGCACTGCCATGCAAATGTAAGCTGTATTATTACCTAAAATACTTTGCATGGTTTCATAAACTTACCACGAATAAATACATAAACCTGAAAAAGTTATCGTGATGTGCTTATGCAACAAGCACACCACATGCTATATTTGAGCACGCACAGCAAAACATATTTGTTTTTAAGTAAGGAGCAGCAGATAAGGCTCTGTAATAAATTAATCAGCTGACCTCAGGACTCAACAAGCTAAACTGATCAGTTGTTGCCACCTACTGGAAGGTTTGTATCAGAACATTTGTCAGAACAGGAGATTATTTGGTCAGCGAGTGGAAACTTAATACGGGAAAAATATACAAAGGCTGCAGCGTGCTCAGATCCAAATTAAACACATCGACATTCAACTTGCAAATTAAGAAGGAAAATTAAGAACAGTAGCTCTTCCATCCTAAACCTTTGTTCTATTGAGGACGCTAATCTGAAATTCAAACGTTTTCACCTCACATCAAGCCTGAACTGCTTTATCTTAAAATACGAAGAAGTTAAAGGAGAGAAACAACCCCACAGCTCACAATTTTACAGTCTAGAATATCTACCACAAATTCTATTTATGTTCTTGAGTGCCACAAAAACAACTGGTCCGAGTCAAATGCTTTCAACACAACATCTCACAACAACATTAAGATTAAAAGGGACTATTCATGGTCCATGCATTGAGGAGTAAAGTCAGTGACACAGACTGCAGCCTTTGTTGTAGGCACAGCAACTAATAACAATGGCAGATGAATAATCAATCACTTGTGCCACCAGTTTAGGGAAGCTTGCCTCATCTCAGAGGGCATTTTTCAAAAAGTGAGCCTGCTGATTCGTCTCAACAGGACAGCATTGCACATTCTGAGAACCATCTTCTGGTATGGCTCGATTATGCTTCTGACAGCGTCATGAAAGCAAACTCACTTCATTTTGTAGATGAGGAAACAGGATCACTAAAATGCTAACATTATCAGTCAAATACTAAATTGGAAGGTATAAGAAATCGAAGTTGGGATGTAGGCATGCTATAGAGCTTCCTGACCCAATCACTATGCAAGTCTTCTATCATTTTCATCTTGGCACTAAAGACAGAAGTTTTTTCTTGAGAAAGGAATAGGGAAATTCTGACAGCGTAACTATTCCAATGTTTCCATAGGAGCTGGTCAGTGTTTTTCAACTCAGACATAATCAGCTGTTAAGGCAGAAGGAAGCACCACCTTAAAGAAACACGGTGAAGATTAACTACCATCAAAATTAAATCTGTATGTATTGATAATGCACTGCTCATCATCTTGCATAGGATTCAAGAAGCACAAGCTGAAAGAGACACTAAAATTACACTTCTGAAGCAGGATCACCTTCTAAATAAAGTGGTATATTTTTTTTGAATTCTCAAATGAGACTCGTTTCCCTTTGCAACTTACTACTACTTCACTAAATTGAGTATTACTCCCCTTACCAGTAATGGACATAAAATAGTAAGTTTATGAAAGCACTGTTTCATAAGAACACAGGTGTCCGCTGTTCTCACCCTTCCTCCAATTCCTTCTTAACTCTGTCTTCTCTTTCCCAAAGCTAAACTAACCCATATCTCTGAGCCTTCTCTCACAGAGCATTTTCTCAAGAATTCCCTTGATGCAGCTTTTTCTTCTCTCCACTTGCTTTCTTTACCTTACTTTCTATTCTCAATTTAGCTAGGTTTTCCTTAGGTATATAGCACAAAATTGCAACCCTTGCTCAGCTTACACTTTAATGGTATCCAGGAATGAACTGCTTATGTTTTTAATGGAAACTGAAACTTACTATGCACAAAAAAACCCCAAACATATGTGCCTTTTTGTGGAACACGCTGCTGACTTCACCTGTTTTGGTCTACTACAACTTCCAACCTGTATTCTGCTGAATAAATGCTGTGAGATCCAATTTTGGTTGCCCAAGTCATAGCTGTAGCACTATGCACTTGAATGAGATCCCAGCAAGTCATATTAAGGGAAAGTTATCCTGGTCACTTTGAATACTAATTCTCAATTTCTTGCTGTTACAAAGTAAATTTGCCTGAGCAAGATCTAAATTTTAAGTGTTGCTTCAGTTCCATTAACTCACAACTCAATTACAATTATTATTACCTCAAGAAAAACAAAACCGAGATTTAAAATAGACACACAGAAAAGTGGTACACAGAGCTCTCCACGTTAGATCCATCTTTTGAGTAGCACAAACTTCATGAGCCTCACACACTAAGTAATCATTGACTTTCAAGTTAATTTTTAAAGCAATTTTACTTTTTAACCACGAATGCTACAATTCCATTAAATCATTAAGCAAAAAGACCTCCCCAAGAAGTACCGAGGAAACTTTCTACAGCGCATGCAAACTTAATTGACTTCAAAGATGAAGGAAAGTATAAAACCTTCAGAATCCTCCCAGCTCTTGTGCTGTGAAACAAAGCCTTTATTAAGGAAATCTAATGCATCATTGTCAAAGCTTTAAAAACTGCTACTTACTGCAAGAGATGTCAAAAACAACCACCACCCCTCCTCAACCCTTAACGGTTTATTCTTCCTACTGTTGGCAGTTTACAGAAAACAAGTTTCAACTGGCACCTTAACAGAAAGCTCAGTATTAGATCTTGGGATTGGCATTGCCTTTACAGTAAAGTGTACACGAAGGTCAGCGATGTTGAAGCTAATGCAGCTGGACTAAACAGCTAACATCTCCTAACAGTACAAAGACCTGACCACTGACACTTGGAGCAAGATTTAAAAGTTAAAAAAATTATTATGGAACACAGACAAACAAAAAATTGGATCTTCAGAACTCCAAGAGTATCTATAAAAACGGCATATGCTTTCATTTATTATACTCTACGTTATCCATCCAAGTTAGAACATAACACAACCATGTACTTGTATTTCACAAGGGATCACGTCATTCAGGATCAAATTTGCTAAAACATTCTTCAATCTTTTCTATTTCAAAATCAGACAGTAAGCATCACAGTAAAGAAGTTGCCGTACCAATGTGGTCAGAGAATTTCTTTTCATATAAAGTCTCTCCAAGTACTGCAGCCCCTCATCTTTCAGTAATTCCAAAGGAAAATGATGCAGATTCCTGTAATTTAGGAACAAATTCTTGTGCTTTTCCAGCTTTGCCTCTGAGATTGTTTTACACAGTTCTGATGCCATGACTAATTCTGTTCCAAGCACCACATCTAGTGCACTGCATCTTCTACAAACAGGCCCATTTCTAGGAGACAAGAGAGAACAAGACAGTATCAAGGTTTATGCCATGCAATCTTTTGCGGAAAGACTTAGACTGTTAGATATTACAACTATCAAAACATAGCCATTCCATTCAATACATAAAGTACTCAGAACATTCATACCAGCAATTCTCTTTCTGCATAATGTTCAAGTGTACTCAGATCAGTATTATCAAGATGTTACACCATACACAACAAAATAATGCTTTTTTTTTTTCCCCATCATCATTTTCCATCAATAGCTTTGTCAAAGCTGACATCAGAGAAAAAAAAAGAAAAAAAAAAGACATCTCTCTCCTACCCACTACTGGTGTTCTACATTTACTCTATGGTACATGCTAAGAATGCACAATCTTCAGCAAAATGCAAAATTGATCAGAGGACGCACGTCTGGACAACTTCAAAACATCTCCACGTAGATTTAAAGCCAACATGACAACAGGCTATAAAAGTTTAAGTCTTCCCACACAAAATAACGAGGAAATGCTATCAGTTGTATGAGGTATTGGGATGGACAGCAAGTAAGACCATCTGAAAATAGGATAATTAATGCAAGAGAAACATGAAATTTTGCAGTTATCAGTCACAGCTATAACAGCAGACTTTCAGCAGTCCTAAATAAACACAAAGTATCCAGCTTTACCAATGACTTCAAAGCCAGAAAACTGAAGCATGATGATTAATTTTTGTTTTATCTGTATGTGAAAGCAGGCTTTATTTAGCTTCCTTCACAATCAAAATTCTAATAATCATTACATTGCATAAATTTGGATAATAAAAACAATGCTGCCCCTTTTATGCTGCCTCAAAACTCGGGAGGATAAAATACACTCAGAATTTTTATAAAAGTAAAGTTAAAAGCTTCCTATAGCCTTGTGTGTCCCAGCTCATCTCCGTTAAGAAAAAGGAAACACAACTGATTTCCACCAATAACATTTGACCTGTGAGTTAATTTCTTTACTGATGGAAGGATTTCCCTTCTTACCTAGTGGAGGTACTGAGCTATCAGTAAGAGAGCCAACTGAAGCAGCCCTTGTGAGTGAAACTCAGCTGAGAATGCAGAACTGATGGAGAACTGGACCATGCATGTAAACCAAACCACTACACTTCAAACACTGATTTGCAGATAAGCAGCTCTTACAAATGACCCGTGTCCTCCTGGAAGAACGCAGCACTTACTTTCTTCAAGTGCCACAGGTATTACTAATCACAACTTGGATGCAACGTCCCACATACCCGCTCTAGTCTTAATTTATACCCAATTCAAGAAGTGCTAAGATCAATTCTGTAAGCAAGTCATGTTAAGAAACCTACATGGGATTGGAGAGTACTGGTATAACTCTTTATAATTAGAGTTCTCATATGAGAAGAAACATCACTGTAAGAAACAGGCACCTCCATCAAGAGCCTTTAGGAGCCAGAGTACAGATGCTGCAGGTCTGTGGCACCAGTACGCAAAAGCTCCCTCAGTTCAGCAGTTAGAAGTTAAGCCACTACGAATTCCACATAGACGATAAGCATTAAAATAATTCAAGGGAAAAAAATAAGATTTGTAATGCAAATATTCCATGAATATTTGGGTACTAACTGCTACTATTGAAGAAACGGGAAAGGAAAGCTCATCTTTCCCTGATGACAAGTGAAGCAATTCCAGACAGGCAGAGTGTTTTCCTTCCCCCTTTGAAAGCACGGCTCTCAGCTTTAAGTTTTTTTTCAGTGAAAAACCCACGAGACCACAAAACAACACAGAAGCATCCGACAGCTTTTTGACTTTTCCAGAGATGACATTCTGAAACTCTGCACCTACAGACCTCTCCTCACAGCCGCACTCCATGAACCACACAGGGCACCGGGACACACAGAGCGCACCGTGCAGCCCACAGACACGAAGTTCAGCCCTTCCCTCACAGGCAGGTCCTCCCCCTCACCGCCCACCAATCAAACCACCCGCTCTCAGCACACACAGGAGCCGCCGGTGGGGATCCTGCGAGGGCCGAATCCCTGCCGCTTCACATAGCACAGAAAAGTGCCTCGCTTACGAGGTGAGGCTCCGCTCCGAGCCGCCCCTCTCGCGGCTGCGACTGCCCGTGGGAAGCGGCCCGCCGTGAGCGCGTGAGGGGAGCGCCGCCAAGGCCTGTGGGGGCTGAGGGGTGACGGGCAGAGAGAAAGGAGCCTCGGAGCAGGAAAGCCTCGCACTCCCACCGCGGAAAAAGCACCGGGCGCTCCGGCAAGCAGGCGGCGGAGGCACTCTCCTCCCACAGCCCGACGCGCTCCGCCACACAACGAGAACACTTACCGGACCGCCACCTCCGGCTCCGAACACCGTAGGCGGAGCGGGCAGATCTCGCGAGACGCCACGCGGTCGCAGACCCGCCTTCCCGCCCAAACACAACACTGCCCCCGCGAGCGAGCCTACCAACCAATCGTTAAGCTCTTCGCTGCCGAGAGCCCAATCAGGAGCCGTCTCACGTCAGAGCTTTGCCCGCCTCCCACCAAGGAGCCTGTGAGGAGCGGGCCCGGGAGGATTGTTTGCATTCTAGCGCTGTTCCTCGAGGCAGTGGTGGAGTCCAGCTTGTAGTATTGGACGTCTACACGCGTCCTGTGTGTGACCACGTATCGGGAGATGCCCTTCAGTTAACCGCTCCCAGTAGGCTAAGAACTAACTCTTATGCTGCTGGCAGGATGAGCCCATGTTTGCTGCTGCTGCCTGTCCG